GGGGGGGGGATTCTACTATAGCTTAGCCTCTGCGCTTCGCGCTCCCTCCACGCTCACCTGAGGGCGCTGAGCTCCTTGGCCAGCCTGGTGAGGGCTGGGGCACGTCCCCTCTCCAGGGCCTGCAGAAGCCGGGGTCCCGTGCGTGCGGGGAGGGGGGGGGGAGGGAGAGGAGGAGGTGGCCAGGAAGGGAAGGGAAGGGAGGGGGCGCAGGAGGCCCTCCTCCCCTCACGGCTCCCCCCCCCCTGCCTCCCTCTCTCCCCCTCCTCTCACGCCCCCTCCTGCGCCCTCTGCCCCTTCTCCCTCGCTCCCTCTCCCAGTCCCTCGGCCTCTCCTCCCTCTCCCCCTCGTCGTCTGGCTGCGCCATCACGCTACGGGGCGTCAGCGCTTGCGGGGACCGCCGAGGCGACAGGCGCGAGGCCCGCAGAAGAGAGCAGCGACGTGCCCAGACCTCTGCGATTGCGGGCTTGCTCGCTTCGGGATGCTTTCCAGCAGCTGCACCTCGTCGAGAGCGTTCTAGGGCGTGCCCGAATCGTCCCGAATGGCCGCCAGCGGCCCGAGCTAGTACCCGAAACCCGAAAGCCGAACTTCCTTGAGAGAATCATCACGGATGGCTTCTGACCTGGCTTGCCTCCGATGGCACTCAACAACCCCCCAGCGCTGTCAGAAACCACTCAGGATGAGAAGCGCGTCCCGAGGAAGTGGTCTAAACCTTCGGGGGGGCGACGTTGGATGCGCCAGAATCGCCAAGTCGGAGGTGTGGGAACGGGGTTCAGCCAATCCTTGGCGGCGCCCGCAAGGGGGAGCGCTGAGGGGGGGGGGGGCCTTTTAAGAAGTCGGGGGGCTTCTTAGCAGGCAGTGGCCTTCTTAGAAGAGCCAGGCGGTTTCTCAGAAGGCTTCTAGAGGCTGTCTCCTGTAGGATCAGGCAAGTTTACTTGCATGGCGTTCCCCCCACCCCCTCCGCGGCCATTTCCAACAACGCTGGCAACAGACGGCGTGCACGTAGGTCCCGGCTTGCGTGAAGCCTCGCCACGCCCCCCCTGCATGCCGGTAAACTTGCCAGGATCTGAAGAACACCTGCCTCCGAAGTAACCATGGGGGCTTCTAAGAAGCCGCCTGCCTCCTCGGAAGCCCCCCTGCCTTCACAGCAGGACCACAAACCTCGCGCTACCCCATCATGGGCGCCGCCCAAATCCCTTCCGAATGATCAGAAAACACACACACACACACTGTGGAACAAAAACACGATGGACAAAACACAGACTGTGTGTGGAAAGAACCCACACACACAGACTGAATGCTTTGCAGCCGACTGCTTTTTGTCTACAAGATCGGGGACCAAGGCCACCGAGAACCCGTCGGCGGGACGCCGCTCGGCTCTACACGCAAGAGCAACCCCTATACGTGGGTAAGAGTGACCTCTGGTGCGCGACTTCCGGGGCCGCGGGGAGGCCGAACTGGAGCGCCCAAGCCGCTGCAGTCGCGTCGCACTCAGCCATCTGGGGGCCCCGGTGTGCCCACACGAAAGGTCACTCTGGCGAAAGGCCACTCTTACGTACTGCCAAGCCGCCCAGGGGTCGCACCACCCCGAGGGGCTCTCAGCAGCGGTAGCCCCGGCCTCTCCCCCTGAGATACCCAGGCCGACTGCCGCAAGCCGGGGCGGGGCCCGCGCAAGGCGGTGAGCTCCACCCGCCCAATGCCCCGTGGGCCCGCGCGCTGCGAGCAAAGACTCCAGGGACCCGTTTCCCCAGGGCCCGCTTGCCTCGTGGTGGGACGCGAGGGAACGTTCGGTGGGACCGCGAGAACTCCGAGAGGCATGCCGTGAATCAGGCCCCTTGCGCCGCTTCCCGAACATCGCAAGGAGGGTTCCGGGCCAATCTCGGCCTCCCCGGGGCCCGCACCCCGGGCCCCAGGACTGTCAAAATCGACTCGAGGAAAACAACGGTCCTGGGGAAGGGGTCTGGAACACTGGGGATCCACGTTGTGAAAGCACGGCGTCGGAGTTCTGGGTTCGCGTGAGCCCACGTCGCACCGAAACGGGCGAGGGCGAGGTCAGACAGACCATGGCATATGCAGCGTCCAAGGGGAGGGGAGGGGCGGCGCGGGGGAGAAGTGCAGGGCTGGAAAGACGAGGGAGCAGGAGGACACGGAAGAAGAGAGGACAACGGACAACAGAGGAGCTGCCCGGACCTCCGACGCCGTGGTTGTTTCACAGCGTGGGCGTCTATAGACTCCTTCCCGCCAGGACCGGCTTTTGAATCTTTGAGGGCCCCAGGACCAGGTGAGCGCCCCAGAGCAGAACACTGCCAAGACCCGTGCTCCCAGACATCCCAGACATCCGACGAGACACTGAATCCCAAAGGCGTGGCCCCCGAGGTTCTGGACCTGCCCCCTGGGCCAACTTTTTCCCCAATCGGTGCTTGCACTGAAGGGGTGAAGGGGCCCTGAGACACACAAATTCGCCGGCCCAACAGGCCAGAGGCGTGCTAAGATCTCCGGTAACTACTTAACAATATTTCTAGTTCGCGCGCGCGGGGCGGCCCCTGGGGGCCCCCGGACTAAAAGTACCCCGGCCGATCCCCGGCCGGGTCCCGGGCGATCCCCAGGGGGGAGGCTATTTTTCGCCACCGATCACGAGGATCGTGGCCTCCGAGGGGGTGGCTGCAATCGACTACCCCCCCTCCCGCCCCAAGGGCCCAAGGGGCTCCCAAGAGCCCCCCAAGAGGCCCCAGGGGAGCCCAAGACGCCGCCAAGGAGCCCCAAGACGCTCCCAAGAAGCCCCCAAGAGGCCCCCAAGACGGCTCGAAGAGGCCCCAGATAGCGCTCCAGGGCCGGCGGAATGAGCGAAGCGATTAAACAAATACACACAAATATATAAAAAAAGGTTCCCCATATTCTTTCATATTTTCTGGGTTTTCGTCTTCCCCCCAACTTCCCATCTGTTCCTATATTTTCCTTGGGATCGACGGTTAATTGTGTCTGTGTGATTTTTTGTCCCTCCTGAAGGGGTCCCAGCGGGTGTTGAAAGATTTCGTGAAGTGTCCCGCCGATTCTAGTAGCCGGCTGGGTTCCCGGTTCCTGGTTCCCGGGTGGCTATTGGTTCCTGGCCGATTTCGGTGGGTTCTGGGTTTCCGGGTTCCCAGGTTCCCAGTCGACGATCTCTCGATCGATCCAATTGCAAACCATCCCGTGATTAGGTTTTTTTCTCTGGTGTAATTTTCTCCCAATGCCACAGGGCCCCAACAAAAAAACATTGCCCTGGAAACGGAATCAACGACAGGCGCAAGTGCTCAAAGCAGTATACCGCCGGTGATCCGGGTGCGCAGTGCGCAGTGATGTTTGGCCTCACGCGGCGAGGATTAGGTCGGGCATGTCCCCCTACAGGCGGATGTTGGGCAAAACCATCAAAATACTCCACAAACGATGCCCAAATGGCAACATCATACTCAAAAAATCGTCCCAGACTATTTTCGGACGATTCTTGAATAATGAGAGGGACACGCCCGACCCAAGGCGGGGAGACCTGGGACGCGCGCGCGGAGACTGCGCGAGAGGGGGCGAGGACCCGCTCAGGGAGGGAGACGTCGGCCTGGGACCGGCGATGCCTCGCCGACGGATCGGCAAAAGGCCCCCGATGGCGGAGCTGTACTGTCGAGGTGCTATACCAGAAGGAGCGCCAGCTAAGGAACAAAGGGGCTTTTCTGGCCACGGTGGGCCTACGAACGAACGAACTGCCATACGCCAGAGCGCGTGGGCAAAAGACAGTGCCAGCCTGAACTGCTTTGCGGGAGCGACTGCACGTCGGCTGTCTCATAATGCACAGCGTGCGCGACTGGACGAGAAGGAGCAGCAGCAGCAGCAGGAGGGGAGGGAGGAGGAGCGCGAAAGGAGGGACGGCAAAGTACACATAGGCTCCTGGCCACGGTGGGCCGGGGCCACAAGCGAATCCCGCGACGCAGATCCAAGAAGCGGCCCGAATCCCCGAGCCCCTTCCGGACCCAAAGCGGTCCTTCTTTCAGCGTCTTGGCTGTGCACTCCTGGACGGGGCGGACTATCGGGCCCCTATCGGGGATCAATGGGCGATGGGGGGCCGATGCAGCCGGATTGGCCCCCGCTTAGGGAGGGGAACGTCGGCCTGGGACCGGCGATGCATCGCCGACAGATCGGCGATAGGCCCCCGATGGCGAAGCTGTACGCTGCATGGACGGGAAGGGCTATCGGGCCCTTAGCTGCGCCGATACGCAGCACGCAACACGTATCGTATCGATGCGGGGCTCAACACGCAGACTGAGAACGTACGCAGGACGTGATGCGTTCGCCAAAACGTGGGCCAGTACGCTGAGCCAGCACGCATCGTATTGGCACGGACGTTCTGAGCAAGGCACGTGCTGCGTTTCAAGACGGACGTATCGAGGCAGCTAAAATCGGGCCCTCATCGGGGATCCATGGGCGCTGGGGGGCCGATGCATCCGGATCGCCCCCTGAAGCTGCCCCGCAAAGGGGGCGGGCGCCAGGGAGAGCAGGAAGATGAAGGGGCCCTGGGACGCACATAGAAATAGACACAGATAACAAGATCCCCCATATATGTTCCTATATCTTCTGGGTGTTCGTCTTCCCCCCCCCCCCACTGCCCATCTTTCCCCATCTCCTCTGGGGAATCGACGATCCATTGTGTCCGTGTGTCTTCGTTGCCCTCCCGAGCCAGGGAGAGCATTGGTGGTCTCCAACCCAGGTGGTGAGACACCCGGTGGTGACCCCGATTCCCCCAACAAAATGATTCTGGGTCACCACCGGGTTTGGGGACACGCGGTCGCCGCGAGGTTTTGCGTTTCCTGGGCCAGCCAGCGCTCGAAAACCATTACTCCAGATTTCGTAATAAAGGGAGGGGGTCTCATTTCGATGGGGGTCTCTTCCAGGCTATCTTGGAGGGCCTGGGGCGGTCTGGGGACGATGTTTCGGAGGGTTCTCCCACGAGGGGGGGTCTGAAATGGCTTGTCTTGGAGGGTCCAGACCCCCTCCCTTTTGTTACGAAATCTGGAGTGCCCAGATCGCCCAAAACTCACCACCGGGTGTCCTCACCACCGCGTTCGGGGACCACCAGGAGCAGGACGCGGCCGCAGCTGCAGAGCCGGGGAGAGAGCAGGCCGAGGCGGCAGCGGCAGGCCGCCCCGAGGCCCGGGCAGAGCGCCCAGGCGCCCGCGGAGAAGAGGGGCACGGCCGTGTAGGCGCTCAGCAGGGCCATGGGCAGCGGAAAGCCTGCCCCCGCCCGCAGGACACACACAAAGAAATACACACGAATAAAACATATTCCCCATAGTTTCCCATACGTTCTGGGCTTCTGTCTTCCCCCCCCCCCCCACTTCCCATGTTTTCCCATACTTTCTGGGGAATCGAGGGTTACTTGTGTGTCTGTGTGTTTCTTTTCCTCCTGAATCTTCTTTGGGTGGTGGGCCAAGGGTGAAATCTGAAATGCCGTTTCGATGGTTTTTTTTTCCAGGCCTGAATCTGCAGAAGCACAAGACGGATTGATCTTCGAGGTGCAAAAGCCCATCTGGACTTTCACCCTGAGCCCTCCACCCTGAGAAAATGCTCCGCCCTGGCGCCACGACAAAGAGCAAGCGGGCGACTTCGGACACCCGGAACCCAGAAACGTGTTCATCTCTCGAGGGCACATGTTCCACTTCCGCCGCCTTTTGTCGAGCTTCCGCCGGCTTCCGCCGGCGGAGGCGGCCTCGTTTCACTTCCGCGACCTTCCGCCGCCCTTCCGCCGCCTTCCGCCGCGGAAGAGATGACAACCCCTTCTATCCTCGAAGGCAAGGCCTTTTTTTGGAACGCCCCAATTGGCGCGCGTGCCCTAGCTCTTGCACCGAGGAGCTGCAAGGGGCAGGAGGCGTTCGCCTACTGCCTCCAGGAAGTTCCTTCTGTGGCCCGGGGGGGGGACGAACGACGAACGAACGAACGACGATGACGAACGAAAATAAAGAGGCCCGAGCTCTAGAACACAGCTGTGCAAGAGAGCGAGGAAAACTATCCCCACCCCCACGGCGGAAACCTTGGCCCCGCTGGGCAATCTACCCCACCAAGGGTGGGGATGGGTGCCGACTCCTTTCTTCTTTTGTCTCGGAGCACCCCTCCCCACCCAGAGGGGGTCCGCTGGGAGAGCCAGCTTACCCTGCCCTGGTGGGGGTGCGGACCCAGACATGATCGCGTCGTAAAGAATTCAGGACGGAGGTTTTTCACTACTTTCGGCCCTTGGGGGCCCTCGCCGAGCCCTGGGACCCTCAAAAAAACGACTCGGGATGATAAGCCGGCCCCGGGAAAGGGTCCGGACTTCCGGGGACGCCGCAGTGAAAAATCAGGACGTCGCATGTCTGGGGATGGTTCCGACGACGACAAAGAATGACGGAAGGCGTTTAGCTATTCTCAAGTCGGGCGTGTCCCCCTACAGACGGCTTTTGGACAAAAATTAAGAATACCCCAAAAATACCCCAACCATTCACAGAAAGTGGCAAACATCCTCCCCAGGCTATTTTTTGGCTATATTTGATCAGTCCCCCTGTAGCGGGACAGGCCCGACTCAAGTTTAGCTATCCACGAGAATCTCCAAGAGGCTGTCAAGGAGGAGGAGGAGGAGGAGGAGGAGGAGGAGGAGAAGGGGGAGGAGGAGGGGAGGAGGAGGGGGGGAGGAGGGGGAGGAGGAGGAGGAGGGGAGGAGGAGGAGGAGGAGGAGGAGGAGGAGGAGGAGGAGGAGGAGGAGGAGGAGGGGGACGAGGGGGGAGGAGGAGGAGGAGGAGGAGAGAGGGTAGGAGGAGGAGGAGGAGGAGGAGGAGGGGAGGAGGAGGAGAGGAGGGGAGGAGGACGAGGGGGAGGAGGAGGAGGAGGAGGAGGAGGAGGAGGAGGAGGGGGGAGGAGGAGGAGGAGGAGGAGGAGGAGGAGGAGGAGGAGGAGGAGGAGCCTCCTCGCGAGGCCGAGGCTCCCCTCGAGGGCCGGGCCCTCGGGGAGGGGCACCTCCTAGCGAGGCCGAGGCTCCCCGTCGAGGGGCGGGGCCTCCTCGAGCGGACTCCGAGGCTCGGGTCCCCGGAGAGCCAACGCACTGACAGACTCGAGAGACTGTGTGTGGCTTTTCCATGTGTTTGGCAGCGAGGTGCCCTCGCTGGGCCCGGGGACCGTCAAAAAACGACCCGGGCTGAAAAGCGGGTGCTGGGGAACGGGTCCAGGCTTCCAGGGACCCCGCATTGAACAAAATCACAGCATCGGATCTCTGGGTCCGACACTGCGGTTCATCATCAGAGGGCTGAAAAGCCACCCCCATAATGGTCACCCCGACACGCGAAGCCGTTTAGTACACGCACCTACAGAAGGAGCCGAACAGGGCAGGGCTGTTTCGTAACCGCCCAGGGCCAATTGGTAGACGCCAATTGTCGGGTCCGGGTAGTTGATCCTCCCTTGAACCGTGCCTGGCTGGCCAAACGCGGGAGCACCGTGGTGTGAGGGTTGCGCGCT